GTTAGTAACTGGTCTTGAGGAACAGTGCTTCTGTAGTTATTGAAACCATGCATTTTCTTGGGGTGAGGAGGGGGTGTGCATCCACACTACACTGAAGAGATGATAAATGCTGTCATGAACTATTTCTGCTGCAAATATAAAAAAGATTTCCATAGGATAGCATTCCCTAAAATTCTGTTTTTTCAAAGAAACATTTACTAACAGATTTACTATGAAAGGCTTGCCCGTCTTTACAAAAGGAAAGCTGCAGATTAAACCGAGAATGTGAGGTCTCTTATACAGACCTACACGTTAGCTTTCCGGAGCATGGCTCCTCCCCTGCGCTATACAGCACTGGGCTGCCCTTCTCCACACCAGTTCTTGGGAGGTTAAATCCATTTCTCATAGATCAGTGGGATTCTGTGGCCTAGTGAAGAGAAGAAGCTGAGTTAAACTAGCTTAAGGGTGAACTTCTTTTCAATATGCTCTCAACAGGATTCTGTGGCCTATAAAGAGAAGAAACTGAATTAAACCAGCTTAGGGTGGACTTCTCTTTAATGTTATGTTCGTTGTATTCACTGAGTGAGTTCCCTTCGATGTACTTGGTTCTAGAACCTCTCCAGTGGGGCCCTCTGTTCACAGAGTATAAATTAAGGAACGCGGGGTTGGGTACTTGTAAGACCTGCAAGCCTTCCTCCAGAGAGAAAGAATAAGGCTGCTTCCTTGAACGTGTCAGGCCCAGCCATAGCTGTGTGAACATGGAGAGTGTTGCTTCCCTCCTCTCCACTTCCGGCTGTGGCCTCTGCCGGGTCATGGTACTGCTCATGAGGGAACTGAAGTACTAACTAGTTCCCCAGTCATGGTACTGCTCATGAGGGAACTGAAGTACTAACGAGTTCCCCAGTCATGGTACTGCTCATGAGGGAACTTAAGTACTAACGAGTTCCCCAGTCATGGTACTGCTCATGAGGGAACTGAAGTACTGACTAGTTCCCCACTTTACCTACTCTGCATCTCCCAGACGACACCAAACCAGGATCCCTCATTTGGCTTTTTGTCGTCCGACTAGAACGACCCTGTGTGTAGCTAATTGTGATGAATTTGAGGTCAGGGCTCTTCCACCTGATCCCCATCTACTTATACAACAATGTAAGGAGGCCAATGTATGTGGTTTTGGAGTATAGTTATTTAAAATTATAAGCAGGCAATAAACCTTGAGGAGTTCTTTCTGATTTTATTAGTTTTCATTTACCTAGGAATCCCAAAATTCTAAAATGCAAAAAAGAGCAAGCAATTTAAAAACAAACTTAAGCAGTGTTGAATTTGTAAAACAAACAAACAAAAAACCCAAAATCTTAAATATTTTTGAGAGGCAGCCTCCCAAGTGTTAGGGTCATAGGTATGCACCACCATGGCTGACTTTCATTTATTTAGAATACTCTAGAGTCCTAGCCAACACTTGGTGGATAAGTAGAGTTTTTCATTGCATGCATCTAAACTTGGTTCTTCCTTACAAGCTTCTCTATACATTCCCTTATGTTAACCCAAACAGTGGACTTGTAATCCATAGTATCTACAAAAATACTGGAATACTGTCATGTTGAAATGTACTTTCACAGCTGTTTTTAGTTTATCAGTTTTAAAAGGTGTATTGACATGATCTCTTTGGGACATGCTAGTGTGGATGGGGCTCTCACATGGAAGGTGTAATTCGCCAGCTCCGGGAATTAACAGATTTACTAACTTCTGCCTTCTACCATCCAGGTCCAAGAGCTCCACGAGGAGGAGGCACAGTGGGTCAACTATGATGAGGATGAGTTGTGTGTGAAGATGCAGCTGGCTGATGGGATCTTTGAGACCTTGATCAAAGATACTATTGATGTTCTCAATCAGATCAGTGAAAAACAGGGGAGAATGCTACTTGTGTGACATCTTGCAAATAAATCGAACACTGAGTGCTAACATGAGTCCTGGGCCTTTCTGCCTCGTGATATACACCCCATCTCCACCATAGCAAGAATGCTTCTGGACCTTGAACCCGTTCTTATGGACCGCTGGTTTGGAGTTCATGGGACAATATGGTATATCTGGTATTACAGCCTTTGCCTTTACAGACTGTCCACTGGATTACGTGGTTCTTTCCCGTGGGCAGGGTTACACTCCTGATGTTGAGACTTGGTATCATCATTCACCTCATTAGTACCCCTACTAGGTCTCAGATGAGGGCTGAGAACACCAGACTTACCTCTGAGCTTAGACAAGGCTATCACTTCCTTGAGTTTCATCAGGAAAGAGAGGTAAATAAGTTCATCTTTTAACTTTCAAAATACAATCTTGGTCTATTTAAAGAAAGTCATAAATGGACATTGTAGTCTCTGAACAGTATTAAACCCATAACCACTTCTAAAATAGGCAAATTCAAGATTCTCTGCCTATTCATATTCTGGAGTTTATTTCTTCTTGAAGACCAGTTTCTTCCATCCTCGAAGTTGAGCAGCACCAAGTGGACATCAGAAATAAGTGGTAGCTTTGCTTTTTGGGCACCACCTGAGAGACTGTAACCCATTGCATTGTGTTGAATTTTCCTGTCTGGGCGACAAACCAATGCCCCACTGAAGATGAGGCTCCAGGACTACTCCGGGCTGGCTCCTCTGCCAGGCCCGCCTGCTCTTTCCTCATTTGCCCTAACCTCTACCAGCTGCTCTCAGAATCGTAGATACTCAGGACCATCTCAGGCATCCAGGCATGGCAAAAGTGGAAAGAATTCATTTTGGCCTTCAAACTTTGAACCCCCATCTCTCCCCAGAAGTCAGATGCTGTTACTTGAATGGTCTAGGAAATGAGTGTGTGCACCAAAGACAAGGAGATATTGTCTGTAGTCTGCGTGCTTGTTTTGCTCTGTGGAACATTCTTTAATTTATTTTAAGGTAAATTATTAAGTTGAAGATGTGTTTCCCTATTGAGAAGTGATTCTCATAATAGTAAACCTCTGTCTCGAAGCTTCTACGGTTTAGTCTTCACACAGGAAAGAAAGCTGCAGTTTTAATAAATCTATACACACACTGAAGAATCAATCGGTTCAGTCCATCGAAAAGACGACAGGCATTTACAGTTGTGTCACCCGTGACAGCGGGCGCGGGAGAAGACTCGAAGGCCGCTGTAGAGTTGAAGCCCACCTCTCTTGCATCTTACAACTATTACCTGGACCTGAGAAAACTCTCCGGACTCCAGCTGCTACAGTAGAGCACACGGTGCTCCCCTGGACCCTGAGCACTTGCCTTCTGGACTGGTTTCTCATCAGTCCTGTCCTTCAAGTAACCCCGGAGAATGTGGATGATCTTAGGCGTGAATGTAAATGCCTTAACCTTACAGTCCCGACTAGAGCAGCATGGTAAGACATCCACTGGGTTCACACTTACAGATACCCTGGACATTACGGCTTCAAAACACATTAGAAAACCCAAAGACAGCGTAACCCTTAAGTGTGCACGTCTGTTCTTTTCTGCATCTTTCTTCCAAACTTGCCTTTGCATCTCAAATATTTCACTATGCACACTTCACTTCTCTTCAGTTTCATCCTGTCATTACGCGAGATCTGCTGAATTCATCATTGGGATATTTGCATTTTGCACAGTGACTGGTGTGCTAGCTCTTGACAATAGGAAAGCACTGAAATGCTACCATTGGGTCTCCTAATGCTCAGGTGGGGTCTGTTCATCAGCATCTTCTGGGCACTTGCTGTTGAGCTGTCGTCTTTAGCCATAGTGAGCAACTTGACTAAGAGAAGCCAAGGTTCCGTGGGGTTCTTTACCAGTAGTGTGGAAATGGTGTTTTTATATGGCCAGTGACAGCAAAGATAGTTCTCTTCAGTCTGTTCTTTAGAAGACAGGAAACATCTTATGTACATCCCTCGACTGTTTGTAGGGTCACATTGTCTTTATGATACTGAACTTTACAGCTGCTATACTTTTTTACAAATGAATATCAGATTATAATAGGAATATAGGTTGTTTTCCACATCTTCATTATTTGGATCTAAACTTAATTTTTAATAAGAAAGTGTATCTTTAAGATACCAGGAAAGGAAAAACATACTGATATAAGTCCATGGTCTCAGCAATCTGGACACTGCTGGACCATGGCAGTGACCATCCTAACCTCCTCCAGCTGTCTTCACTATCCAAGAATCCTGTGTTCCAGGAAAGAGACAGGAATAGACCGTCTCATCCTTTGCTAGCAATCATATCTACAGTTGGTAGCAAAAAAAAACAAAAGAATCTAGAGTTAGCAGGTTTCTTACTATTTTAACTATTTGGATCTCACTGAGATGGGTTTATTGTTAGGATCAGGAATGATAAATGTGGATACCCAGCCACTCGTTCCATACTGGGATCTTTTTAATGAAGCCCTGCCTCATAACCAAGAACCTACTAGTCCCTCTTTCTAATCTTTGCTCCCTCTCCCACACCCTGTCCTTTCCTCTTTCTGCATAACTCCCCTAGAAGATCTTTGCATCAGCAGTAATACCGTTTAGAATAGCACTGTCAGAACCTAGTAGTAACCACCATGCGGGCCTCAGAGTTTCTTCTGAGTCCCAAACAGTTTGTGCTATCCAGGGCAGTTAACTCTGGGTTAACCAAGTACAGGGTATCGATTCCCTCTTCAGGTCTAAACAGGAATTTTTACTCTAGGGAAAGTGGGAAGAGCTCAAAAGTAGTTAAAAAGGAAGGTGAATTCCTTCTGTGACTACAGGTCTCTGAGAAATTATCTTTCAAAAGAGATTGCATTGCTCATAAGAGTGTCGTGGCCTATTGATAAAAACAATTTTGTTCACTTTCTTGTCTTGAAAAAAAGTGGCCTTAGCTTTTTGCAATACTTGAATAAAGTGTGTACTTGCAAAAGAATTTCTGTAGCACAGCATTAGAGACTCATAACTTTTCTGCAAGAAATTCAAACTTACATCTTCCTTTTACTACCTTAAGAATACTAGTGAATAAAACATTAATTCAAAGAGCAAGTGATAGAAACTACAATGATGTTTAATGCAAATTGTAGGAATTTACATGTTTACAAATCATCTTAAACTGGTTGTGCAGCAATTCAATAAAATCTTTGTATTATAAAAATGTGAAGAAAAATGTAAACTGGTGTAAAGGAGGTACTGTCATTTTAATGAACCTATGTTTAAAAGCTTTTCCTTCTGGACTTTGCAAAGCCTTCTTGGTTACACATTGCAAAGCATTCTCTAGGGGGCTCAGCCCCTCGTGTGTACTGTACTGTGCAGACATGAAAAAGAAACCCGTTTACTGTGTGTGTGTAAATAGCCTGGTCGTCAGGCCATCGTCAGCCGACAGACACGCCCGTGCGGCTCTGCACAGAAGACTAAGGGTGTGGCTTGTAAGTACTCTGTAAGATAACTGGGACGGACGGATTCCCATGTATACCTGTGTAAATAGATTTGTTAACTAAAATGTACTTTAAGATGAAATCTGTAAATAAATTGATTTATAAATTATTTCATGTCAAGTGTCAGTTTGTCCATTCATGAGCCAAGTTTAGAAAAGGAGGTCTCATGAAATTGCATTGTTTCGGATTTCTTGTTTTATCCTAGGACACTTGTTCTTAGAGTAAGGGGAGCTGTGTGTGACACAGGAGTCACCAGCACAGGAAGCTAAGCACCCTGGGCTCTGATGAATCATTAATTCCTCAGATAATCACTGAGCACTGCCCGTGTTCTTAGCATTGTGTAGGGCTGGGGACACAGCCGAGGACGCAGGCACGCATGGTCCCTGGCCTGTGACACGTAAAGTCAAGTGAACAGGCAGCATCAAAAAATACTTCCTGAAACCCAGTGCATGTTCAACTCCCCAAGGCTGCAAAGGAAAAGCATGCTCAGGGAGGAATGTGTTCAGATGGTGGGGTTGGGTCAGGAGAGAATTCCCTGAAAAATCTGAACTGGATTCTGTGTTTTGACACGGGACCTCACTCTGTAGTCCGAGCTGGCCGCAGACTTTGAACATGCTCAGCCCCCTACTTGAGCTTCCTCTGTAGACAGGACCCCACATGACACCGTATCTGGCTTCTGTGTTTGTCTTGAACGTTGATGGGTTTCCCTCAGTTCATTCTGAATGCCATTTCTCCCAGATGACTTGAGTCTTGCTCAACCCTGAAAAATAACACATAATTAAGTGGGCCACAAAAAAAAAAATGACTAGGTGCGGAGGGTGTAATTTATTTCTGGAAAAAAAGAGCTTGGAGAATGGAGCTGGATATACAGAAGAATCAGAATTCCAACGATGAAAGTATGTGGCACTCAGAATGAGCCTCCTTTGTGTTACCTGCCATCTTCTCACCTACATTCAACTTCCTCCTGATGGCAGTCTGCCAGGCTTTCAGCCCCTTGCCTCATTAAGGAATCCTCAGAAAACCATTGGCCCCAAATGACAACAGACTCTAAGATACTGTTCAACTCCTTAAAAACAACCACACACACACACACAGTCTGCACATCCATTATGTGCCAGGTAATGTGGCTAGTGCTAAGGACATGCTTATTTGAAAAAAAAAAAAAAAAAAGACTGAATTGCCATAATATTGAACAAAACATGAGACAAGAGGATGGCAATTAACAGAGCAGAACCAAAGATGGTGCGAGTTCACAGGAAGGAACTCCAAAGGAGTTCAGAAATCATGTGCTAGATGTTCAGAACAGTGGACAAGGTGTAGAGACTGTGTGTCTCTTTCACAGGTGGCTGGGCTGTGTGGCCAAGATCAGCAGGCAGATAAGTGCCTGCCAGTGCATGATTCAAAGTCACCCAAAATAAACAAGACACACCAGGCTTAAGGGACACAGTTTTCTTACAGCCAGAGGAGAGGCTGAGCTTTACATCAGCCCCTGCAGTTCCTCAGCCACGCCCACCCCACGGCCAGCAGACCCACAGTGCAGCCAGCTTCAGTGAGGTCGAGCGCCAACAGCCGACTCCGGCTGTCAGGGAAGACTTTCTCTTCATCCCTCCCCAGTACAAAGGAAGACAAAGATCTGGGAGCCTGCTGAGAGCCGGACACCAGAGCTTAAGCAGGGGAGTACCACTGAGTCTCGGGAGTCAGCCCTCCAGCACAGGCTGTGGAAGCTTTCGGGTCCAAGGCCTGTTCATACGCGATCTCCATATGTCACTCACTGCATGTGACTACAGCCTAGCCCTCACTCAAAGACCACCACAGCGCGGTGCATCCAGCAGGACAATAGATCCAATGTGGTCAGCAGCTCGGTCTCATAGAGCCTGCTTAGCCTCCTCTATGGCTGCAGCTTGGAAACAGGGCCTCCCTCTGGGTTTGAGATAACCTATCAGGATCACCAGGAAAACCAGATCAAGAAGAGGAGACCTTCACTCAACTAGGAACCCCATGCGTCTGGAATACGCCGGGTTTTTTTGTTTTGTTTTTGTGTTTTTTGAGACAGGGTTTCTCTGTGTAGCCCTGGCTGTCCTAGAACCTGATCTGTAGACCAGGCTGGCCTCAAACTCACAGAGATCCGCCTGATTCTGTCTCCAGAGTGCTGGGATCAAAGGCGTGTGTCACCACCGCCTGGAGGAATAAGCCAATTTTAGTTTTGTTTTTGCTTGTATGTTTTTTTGAGGGGCTGCCAGGTGTAGAGTTGACAGTCATCCCACCCGAGTAGACTTCTTCTCCGGCTTCATCTCTTCCCTCCTCAAATTATGTGCACCAGTGTCAGCATAACACAAACGCCACCCCATTCTGCCAACCGACAGCTGAGGGTGACTGTGCTGTGTCCCTCGCCACCCTGACCAGTTAGTTTGGTGAGTCCTGTTTGTCTTGGGAAATTCCAAGTCACTGTGTAGAGACAGCCCTTCCGATGGGAGTGTGGGATGAGAGGGACTTCTGGAGTGACGAGTCCCTTCAGCTGTGCCACTTCCTCTCAGGGTATTGTCACAGCGACATGTCCCCACGCCCCCTCCATGAGCTTTCCAGGAGGCACTCTTGTCTGCTGCTTCCTTAGGGACCCACTGTCCCGGTGTTCGAGGCAAACCTTTCCACCCCGACCAGACAAACAAGGAGGAAAGGCACAACCTGGCCGAAGGTGACGTACCTTATGTCACCCATGTCACTGAGATGTTAAGGATCCTCAGTGTGACAGAGAAGTCTTGATGTCCCATTATCCTGTCCAGCTTTCTCCCATCCTGTGAGCTCTCATGACAGGAAGGCCCTGAAGACAGAGGTGCCACAGGTGTGAGGTAAGACGACCTGATGACGCAGCCTCAGCCCAGAGCACAGCTACCCAGGAAATACGCTGGGATGAGCAGCTGGGTGTTGGGTGACTGAGACGCCTCAGGGCAGCATCGTGGACTGCCTGCTTGCCATTTCCCTACAAGTTCAGGATCTTCTGACATAAGCTGCAACTTTTGTCCCAGTAGAGATGTTTAAGTTTAACGCTCAGATGGCTTTTGTTAGGCAGGGTTTTCAATGTTTGCATGTTTATTTGGTCCGCAGAGTTTTTCATCTCCCACTGCTTACCTGGGACAAACAGCAGAGGATCCATTTCAAGTGACGATCCTGCCGCCAGTGCTATTGCCTGGACCGTGACCGTGGCGTCATGCTCAGACTGGACTCTTTTTCCTGTCTGGGCATATGGCTAAAGGTGTTTTTGAAGCCACAATGGTATCTGTGTCTGCATGACACAGAGTGGTGGCCTTACATTTGCAGTATGTGTCCACTGTGGTGAGGCATCTCTGTAGCCTGTGCCCAGCGGCCCCACGGGATTGTCACATGGAGTTTCACATGAAGAAGTGGCCTTGATCTGCTTGATCTATCCTAATTTGCCATATTGGATGGCGGGGGCATGCTGGCAATAGCCACACACTTGTGTGGTATCTAGGACTTAACTGGGGTATTTGGGGAGGGGAATTAGTTCATGATTTGGCCCATTTTATATAAAGGTGTACTTGTTGTTCTGTGGTGGGCCAGACAGGCAGTCACAGCTGAGTGCAAATTAGATTAGCTTTTCAGTTCCATTTTTTAAAATTGTTTTAAACCCACTTTTTTTTTTAAGGCTTATATTTATTTGTGTGTGGGGGGGTACATGTGTGCTCAGTATGCTCATGTGTATACAGATCCCTTGAAGGCCAGAAGAGGGCGTCAGAGGCCCTGAAGCTGGACTTACTGGTAGTTTTAAGCTACCACACCACTGCCACTGCCGCCACCACACACACCATGCCACCGCCGCCACCACCCACATCTGGATGCTGAGAACCAACGCCACTCCTCTGGGAGAGCAGCAAGCGCTCTGAACTGCAGAGCCATCTCTCCAGCCCCTTCAGTTCCATTTTTTTTTTTTTTCAAGACATGGTTCCACTGTGTAACAGTCTTGGCTGTCCTGGAACTTGCTCTGTAGACCAGGCTGGCCTTGAACTCGCAGAGATCCACCTGCCTCTGCTTCCTGAGTGCTGGGATTAAAGGTGTGCGCCACCACCACCCAGCCAGTTCCACTATTTAAAATTTTTTCACTTTTGTTGTGTGAGTGTGTGACGTAGGGAAGGGACACACTGCTACGGTGTGCATTTGGCGGTCAGAGGACAACTTTGTGGAGTCAGTTCTCATCTTCCAGCTTTCCCTGTGTTCCATAAAGACTTGCACAGCAAACACCTTTATCCTCTAAGCCATATCTTCCCGTCTCTTTTCTAACGGTTCTTTATTATAGGCAGTAAGAAGTGATGAATGATGCTTGCCAAGGAAGAGGCCAGTGCATGATTTGAAGTCACCCAGGGTAAACAACACATGGGGGACGGGGTGGGGGTAGGGAGGGACGCCACTCTTAAAGTGGTATAGCATTTATTTACAGCCAGAGGAGAGATCCCGCACTAGATCCCGCACTAGATAGTCCCTTGCCATGCCTTGGTCCTCCGTGGCCAGCAGATCCCTTTTGCGGCTAGTGTGAGCAATAGAGCTGCAGTGAAGACTTTCCCTTGGCCCTACCCAGAAAGCCGGAGGCATGCTGGGAGCCACTGACATGAGTACAAGCAGAACAAGGAGTCCTGCTGATCTAAAGCAGCAGAGATACATACCCTCATGAGATTAGGCCAGCACCGGCTACGCGACCTTTAAAAGGAATTTTATCAGGCCCAGGCCCATTCTAATGTTCCCAGTCATGGGCAGGAAGCTGATCATGATTGCCTTCCCCACAAGGATGAAAGCAGAGGAGCTGAGGGAAGCTTGGAAGGAGTTTGGGGGCTTCTTAAGCTTTTCCTACTTGTGACCCATTTTTGATTTTTTTTTAAAGCGAAGTTCAAGTCAGCAACTCAAATAGCAATTTTAATTTTTTATTATTTTATGTGCATGGGTATTTTGCTGGCATGTATTTCTGTGTACCACATGCATGCCTGGAGCACACAGAGGCCGAAAGAAGGCATCACATCCCCAGGCACTGGAATTAACAAAGGGTTGTGAGCTGCCATGTGGGTGCTGGGAAAGGAACCTGAGTCCTCTGTAAGAGCAGCCAGTGTTCTTAACCACTGGGCCATCTCTCCAGCCTCTCAAATAGCAATTTTTTAAATCAAGCTTTCTAATACAATCCGAATAAGTACTAACTTGATACATATGCACTGAGAGGTGATAGTGGGAAAATACTAGAAGTCTTTTCTTCTGTAATTTGTCTGGCTTAAAGACAAAACAGAACAGTGCGAATCTCCCTCTGAACCTGGAGAGTAAACGTGTAAGGATAGAGATCCAGGAATTGGGCCCTAGAAAGAGTAGGAAAGCTATTTCTATAAGAGCAGAAGTTTTATAAATGTGGTTAACACTTCAGTTCATAACATGCGATAGTCTCGAATCTGAGTGGGCGCGTTTTGAGCAGCGTTCATTAGCATCGTGTGGTGTGACAGCATGTGCCAGGCTGAGTGGGCCTTTCGTGTGACAGAGCGAAGGGAAGTGGCCGAGTGCAACACTGGGCACCAGAAACACATCGGATCCATTTTGCATTTAATGTTGAACGAATATTGTGGTTACTGTGTGTTCAGAAACGTTTTACTGTTGTCAAAGTATTTGCAACCCCTAAGCTTAGTTACATAACTCATGGTTTAGAACCATGAGGCCTAGTAGATCCAGGCCACTGAGCATTATGAAGAGAGATAATTTAATTGATTCTCTCAAGACACTGAACCAGAGAGAGTCGGATCATGAGGACTCCAGGCACCAAGAAGCCTGCAAGTGAGGTAACTAACTCAAAACGAAGATTGAGCTAAGGTCTGAGTACTGAACAGAGACACCTAGCAAAATGTATCACAACTCCGTGCCAGTGAGAGGACGAAGAGCTAAATTCTAGTAAAACAAAATGTCCTCAAAAGAAAGGTCTGACATGAGGAACTCTACAAAGAGCCGCTACCGGATCCTCTTCCAGTGAATGCACAGTCAAAAGCTGAGTTGTTTGTCAAAATATTAGCATGTCACACACTGGCAGACAAACAGCTAACCACTTTGGGATGCTGAGGGAAGCCATCAATGTGACAGAGACTAAATCAGAAAGGACAGAGGAATTCTGCTGGCATGGCGATGCCCAGGACAGAAACAAGTATTTTAAAAACCTTCAATGTAGGTTGTAGGAGAGATGACTCAGTGCAAAAAAGGCTTGCTGTGCAAGCCTAGGGACCTGAATTCTGATCCCTAGTGCCCACTAGACATGTATAAAATGTATGTGGAACTGAAAAACTCAATAACCCAACTAGAAAACGTAAGGGGAGCCTCAAAAGTAGAATGGACCAAGTAGAAGACAGAATATCAGGACTCAAAGATAGAGTAATTAGACCATACAAACACAGACTATTTTAAAAATTTAAAATAGAGGAAAAGAACATGCAGAAACTGTGAAACATCATGAAATGCTGTCTTCAAATATAGACATAGATGAGAGAGAATCCCAGGTCAATGGCATAGACCAGCTCTTCAACAAAATCATAGGAGAAAACTTCCTCAAACTAAGGAAAGACATACTCATACAGAAATAAGAAATATACAGAGTTCAAAATAGGCAAGACCAGAAAAGAAACCCCCACCATCTACCATAGCTAAAATATCACATATACAGAACAAAGAAAGAATATTCAAAGTTGAAAGAGAGAAAAAACCATAAGTCAAAATAAAATAAAACCAATTGGAATGACAGCTGATTCCCTCAATGGAAACTTTGAGAGCCAAAGAGCCTGGAGCAATGTCTTCCAAGTTCTGAAAGACTACAAATATCCACCTGGACAACTGTACCCAGAAAAACTGTCAACTGTGATTGAAGGAGAAAGAAAAGCTCTCCGTAATTTAAACAGGCTAAAAGGATTCACTTGTAGCAGACCAACACTAAAAAGAAGACTCGCAGCAATACTTCAAACTGAACAGAGGAATAAGCATAACCAAGAGACTAGAAAGAAAACAAATGAAGCTATAATTTCTAAAACACAAAGTATGACCAAGAACACAAACAGGAAAAAAAAATGACTGCAATCAACATACACCTTTCAATAATAACTTTAAATATTAACGGCCTCGATTCTCTAATAAAAGGACACAGGCTGTCTACAGAAAATTTGTCTTCGCTTTAGAGACAGGGACCACCTTCAAGTGGTTAGAGAAGTATTCCAATCAGATGGTCCAGGGAGCAAGCAGGCATTGCTATCCTAATATCTGACAAAACAGACTTCAACTAAAAGGAAAAGATGGAGAAGGATACCTCCTTCTAACCAAGGGAACCAAGAGAACATGACAATGCTCATACCATACACACACCAGAGTCTGGGGTAGCCAGTTTTATAAAAGCATACTACTGAAATAAAGACACAGATTGACATCAACCCATTAACAGTAGGTAATTTAAACGCCCTGCTTCCTCCATTAGACTGGACATCTAAAATAATAAACAAGAATATCAGAATTAAATGACATAATACATCAAATGTACTTAACAGATATCTATAGAATATCCACCCAAATACCAGAGAACATGCATTCTACTCAGCAACTTACAGAAACTTCCCTAAAATAGATCACATCGTGGGCACAAAACAAGTCTTTAAAAACTGAAGGAACTCCATGTATCCTATCTGACCTTAAATAATACCCTAACTTAAAATTTGACAGGAAAAAAACTTTAGTAAATACACAAACTCAGAGGTTAAACAATTACTAAATGATGAACGGAACAAAGAGGAAATCATGAAAAAAAATTCCTGGAACTGATGAAAATGAAAGCACAACAAAAGCTCTGGAACATATCAAAAGCAGTCCAGTAAGGGAAATTTCTGTTCCTGAGTGCCTACATTAAAAAAGATCAGAAAAAGCAGATAAATGACTTAATGATGCAACTCATGAATTTGAACTAAGAACAAAACAAATCCAAATCCAGCCAATAGCAAGAAAAGATAAAAACCAGAGTAGAAATTAATGAAATAGAAACAAAACAATACAGAGAATCAATGAATCTAAGAGCTGGTTCATTGAAAAGATCAACAAGATCTCCAGACCGTTTGCTAACTAATCAAAAGAAAAAAAGGGCCCAAATGAACAGAAACAGAAATGAACAGGAAAACATTACAACAGGCACCAAAGAAATTCAGAATACTGGAAGTATTTTAAAAATATGTAATCTGGTAAACTGGAAAAATCTAAAAAAATAAAAAGTAGGATGATTTCAAGGTTCCTTCTAGATTCGTTCAAACTACCAAAGTTAAACCAAGAAGTATTGGAGTCCAAATGATCTAGGGTTTCCTACATCTTGACTTGGATGTAGCCCTTGACTGCAAAAACTATAGGCAGAAGGTTAAGGACTAGGAGGAAAGTCCTCCAGGGCCAAACAAGGCCACAAGGAAACGCAGAAGGAAGAACTCAGATAAGGGTTCACAGACACTCTCTGCTCAAGCTCTGCTTGCAGTCCTATCTCTAGTGGGTGGATAAACAGCATATAAACAGCAGTGGAATGAATAAAAACTGTTCATTTCAGAGATGACCCCAGAGTCCTGGATCTCCCTGTGCTGCCCAGGGTTGTACGTGGCAAAGAAGAGGTGAACAACCTGAACAGACCCATAACACATGAAGAGACTGGAACAGTAACAAGAAGCCTTCCGATTTTAAAAGGCCCGGGCCCAGGTGGATTCACAGGAGACTTCTAACAGACTTTCAAAGAAGACCTACATCCAATCCTTCTTAAATTATTTTAAAAGATAAAAACAGAAGGACCAC